AGGTCCCGAGTCAAGTAAGAATGGTTTAGGGGCTTAAAAGTGCGAGTTCCCAGCCCTCTCCCTTCGCGTCAATTGTAGTGGAATCTCTAGGGGTGAGCCCTCGTGCTACTGGGTATTTTTAAGCTCCTCTTGGTGGTTTCATGTAGGGTGACCAGTTTTTTAGAGAGCCAACCGTGAACAGCCCTACCAGACAAAAAATACTATGTTGAATATAATGAATTATAATACACATACATGTATTATTTTAACGTAGAAACATGAGAATAGATATTTGTCTGAAACTATGTGATTCAGAATTATTTTCTGTACATGAAAGGCTCGTATTTGAACAAAGCAACAGAGGACTACTTAATGACAATTAGTTGTAATTGATAGTAGGGCTATGATTCCATATGTTTACTTTTTTAAAAATTAAGAGAAAACAGATTAAGAATAAAAACAAACCTTTCTGAGGTATTGTGTGAAATCTCCCTCCAAGTCTTGATTCCTGTGGGCCCAAAACACTGTATGTATAGTGTTTGTTTTACCAGTGTCATGCTAGTTGTTGGACCTGGGACAAATTGCTTAGGTCCTCTGTGCCTTATCTTCTATGCATGTAAAATGAGGATACCAGTACTAAGAATTTCATAAGGTTGTTTTGAGTTTTACATGAATTAATATATGAAAAGTGCTTAAAACAATGCCTGGTACATAATAAATGTTCCTCAAGTATTAGAAAACCTTCAGTTTTCCAAACATCTTTAGATGAATACAGTTTTGACTCTGTTGCAGCAGTTTGAAGTTTCCATAGGAGAATTAAGAAAATCAGGAAATAAAGTGAAAGTCATTAATTCAGTGAATATTGAGTGCCTAGAATGTGCCAGGTACTGTTTAATTTTAAATATTATGCATTTAAATGTGACTCAAAGCATTTCAGACTTGGTCCCGGCAAAAGGCTGCTGACTCAGGCAGAAAAATGCTCACACAGTTGAGCTTCTGACAATCATGCTATGCTAAGGTGTCAACATTGGAGATCTGAGGGCCTCGAACTCCAGGGACAGTTCCCCTATCAATACATTTACTGATACCTGGAGCTACATGGAGCAGACTGCTACAGACCTATGCTGGAACACCGGGAAAGGGAGAGAGATTTACCAGTCTCCCAGTGCTTATGAGATAAAGACCACTATGGAGTGGAGATCAATAATTGTAAGTCCTGTAAGCAGTAGTTCCTACCGCTACTTTTTAAGCTCACTGATCCTTTCAGATATTGGTGCCTTTAAAAATCAGTCTAAGTTCAATATATTTCTTTTTGTTATGTTGTGTTTTTCTGTTCGTTATGTTCATGCTTTCTTTTAAATCGAGCCTATCCATAATAATTATTTTACAGTCCTTGTCTTAAACACCACAATTTCTGTACTTTCTGGATCTTTTTTTAATTGACTTTTTATTTTTCTGGGTTTGGATTACATTTTTTTGCTTTTTTACATATCTGCTTATTTTTGATCAGATGCTAGACATTATGAATTTTTCATTGTGTATTAGAGTTTGTTGTCTTCCTTTAAAAATCACTAGAACCATACAATCCAGAAATTCCACTTCTGGGTAAGAACCCCAAAGAATTGAGAGCAGCAACTCAAACAGATACTTGTACATCTGCACTTGTCATAGTATTATTCACAAAAAACAGAAAGGGGAAGCAAGTGTCCTTGTCAGATGAATGGACAAATGGTGGTCTACATACAATGGAATATTATTCAGCATTAAATAGGAAGAAAGTTCTGGCAAATGCTATAACATGGATGAACCTTGAGAATGCTACGCCACATGAAATAGGCCAGACACAAAAGGATAAACACTGTATGGTTCCACTTATATAAGTTACCTGGACTAGTCAAATTCATAGAGACAAAGTGGAAGGCTGGTTGCCAGGTGCTGAGTGGGCGGGGAAACAGAGTTACTGTTTTTATTACTGTTCAGTGGGTGCAGAGTTTCAGTCTGTGAAGGTGAAGAAAGTTCTGGAGAGGGGCTGTGGTAGTGGCTACACAACAGTGTGAATGTACTTAGTGCCACTGAACTGTACACTTAACAAAGGTAAATTTTATGGTATGTGTATTTTACCAGTAAAAGCTTTTTTTTCCTGGCAGTCAGTTCAAGTTACCTTCAGCTGGATTCTTTCAAGGCTTGTTTTGAAGCTTTGTGAGGGTGCGTCACCCCCAGGAAAGGTGAGATCTTGGCTTGAAAGCTGGAGCAAGTCTTGAGGCCCTCCGGGCCTGTCTGGTGCTTTTACTCGGCCTTTGTCCTCTGCGTCTCTGCTCAGCGCCTCGGGGGCTCAGGGAGGACTCTGTCATGGCTGGTCAGGACGTGAACATCCCCAGCTGTGTGTGAGCTCTGGGGATTGTTAGCTTCTATCTTCCTGCTCCTTCTTTGCCCGGCATTCACTCTGCCAGGAGCAAAGTCAGGGGGACCCTTATGGAGATTTCTGGAGCTTTTTCTGTGTGCGGCTTCTAGCTGTCTAGGATTCTGCTACCCAGACCCCGCTACCTCTGCCTCCTTGAACTCAAATCTCTGTCTCCAAGTCTCAGAGAGCCTGCTGTGGTCTGTGGGATCCCCCTCCCCTGCACTGTGGTCTGGAAAGTGCATCCAGTTAGAAAGTCAGGGCAACCGCAGGCCTCACCTGACTTGTTTCCTTTTCCTCGGGGGTCACGGGTCTGCACTGACTGTTGTCCAAGGTCTGAGAACAGTTTTTCATATCTTCTGTCTGGTTTGATAGTTTTTTTTAAGGGTCTAGTCAGTCAGTCAGTCCAGTTGTAGTAATTGCATCAGGGTCGGAAGAGGAAACTCAGTATAATTTTAACAAGCTTTTTTTTTTAAATGAATGCACTCAAAGTTTTTATACATTTAAATTCCATTTGCACTTTCTTAGTGAACTGTCTATAATTGAATTTGGATGTTTTTCTCTTGGGGTATCAGGCCATGGATTTTGGTCTCAACATCCCTGACACTTGCTCAGTATTTTCTCCTCTATTGGTTGAAATGTAAAGATAGGAAATGGGGACGGAGAAGACATACTCTTACCTGGGGACACCTGGGCTATCCATCCACCACCATGCCGTTCATCCCAGGGTAAAGGAAAACAGTAGATAGCTTTGTTCCTGTGGTATCTTATTCACAAGACAAGTCACCTTTGGGTGATCGATTATTTCCTTTGCCCAGCGTAGTTGCTTATGATCAAGGAAATCTAATCTTATAGAACTTTCCCCTGTCAAACCATTCCTGAGCTGTGGGTTTTCTGGTGCAGTACATAAAAGATCAGAGCTGCCGTCAAACCTCCTGTGCACAGCACTGGGAAGTTTTCTCTCCCAGGTAGATGCTGTAATGTAGAATGAAGCTAGGGCCACACATCCAGGATTTTCAGGGTTTTTCTCCCACGCATCAAAAAGGTTATGCTGAAGTTGGAAGCCTCACACCCGTCGCACTGTAGGGGCTCTCCTACAGTTGGTTTCGCTGGTGCACGGTGAGGCGTGAGCTTAACCTGAAGCCTTCCCCGCACTCCCCACAAGGACAGGCTTTCTCCTCACTGTGGCCCCCTGGTGGTGATGAGGGTGCTGAGCTCTGCCTGAAGCTTTTTACCACTCTGACTACATTTTATGGTTTCATTTGAGTGTCGGTTCTCTGATGAACCTTCTGGGTGATACAGGTAAGATTTTCTCAGCTCAAGGCAATGATATGGCCTCTCCCTCATGTGGGGCATGGTGAGGCATTAGCCAGAAGTAGTTATTCTTGCACTTGCCGCACACTCAGAGCCTGTCCTGCGTGTGGACTCCCAGCCCTTGTCTGGCTGGAACTTTTCCCACATTCCTTACACTGGTAGGGCTTCTCTCCATCATGGTCTTCTGCCGGCACATCAGAGCTCTGCCAAGATTTTAAACAGAAAAGACCCCACAAAAACTGCCATGGGGCATAAGGACGATGCTTGTGCAAACCTGTATCTTACAGCTTGGCCAGAGGCCAATCAGGAGCCAAACAGATCTTGATGCTGGGCAGGGGAAACCAAACAAAGCAAGCCTTAAGGACACAGAGATGAGACTTGGTCTCTCTTGCCTCCATCCTGGCCGGTTTGGATTCTATTTCATGGGACCCACGTGACTTCCAGACCAAACCACCAACCCCTAACACTTCTCTGGAACTGAAATGGACAGTTTCAGCAGCTGTTCTCAATATAGCTCGAAATCATGCATGCAGAACGCAGTTACGCGGTGCTCAAATCTGTCAGAAGCTTGTTGTTTCCCTGTTCCTTGTGCAGAATGTGAATGATGAACTGAGCTGTAGTAATTCATTCTCCTCTTCAGGCACCAAATTTAACTCAATTATTGATTCTGGGGTTTAAAAAGCAAATGGAGCTTTCATCCAAGTATTTTCCTTTAACAATTCAAATTTCCCTTCCGGAAAGTAATGATTAAAGGTTTGAGACAAGGAAGTGAGATGCAACAGT